TCGAATTTAAAAGAAAACCACCACCTTCCCGCCGACGAGGGAAGAGGTGGGTCGTTTTTCTAATGGTTGTTGACTTTTTCGGGATTTCGGAACACAAAAAAAAAAACTGGTACCTCTTGGTGGTTGTGGGCAGTGGTTGTGGGTGGTCGTGGTCGTGGTGGCGTGGGTGGTGGTCGTGGTGGCGTGAGTAGTTGTGGTAATGGTGGCTCCTTTTGTGGTGGTTGACGATTGACTTGAGGCTTAATGCACTGAGGTGAAAGAAAGCAAAGTGGGGATGAGTTAAGGTAATTTTGTCCCTTCATCACTTTTGTTGGCGGTTTGATAAAAAACGTTGGCGGTATGCTACTCCAATTTGTGAATTTATCTTAGCTACAAATGACGTCATATATATATATAATAGATTTTAATACTTTTAGAAATTCAATAAATAGCTAGGAAAGAAAATAGATTTCTAATAATATCTTTAATGTAAACTCTGCAGCTCCGGTGGTTGGAAGGGCGGCGACCGTTTCTGCCAAAAATGTCATTCCCGGCGGGATATAAAATAATGACATTGGAAGAACTGGTGGCGAGGAGGAGAGTCCAGCAACATATATATCAGATCACTGGCCGCGAAAACCAGAAAACAAAGATGATGACTACACAACCAATGAATATTCTTGATGTTTTTCAGTCATCTAAGGCAATGTGCGAGGCAAGGGGATTACTGTCACACTATATTTGGACCATTTTGCTATAATAGTTGGTTGGTACACCCAGGTGTACCATGCGCATGGTACACCCGGATCAAAACTAGTTTAAAAAAAAGCGTAAAGAACATAACTTATATGTGCAATGAACATCACCACTTTATAAAAGAACACAATATTGAAATATAAAGAACGTGCTAATTTTGGTGAAACAGTTTTTAAAAAAGGTAAATGATAATTACCAATTGATTTTTACCACATATTTAATGTCAAATCATTTAAGAATATTCAAATTTCTATAATCTTTCTCTAAAATTAGATTTTATTTTCCAATTTCATATTTTAAATTTGATATTCATTTTCAAAATTTCAAATTCCAATATTTTTTTTATTCTGTTCTCTTTCTTTTTGAAAAAAAATTCTCTAAATAACTAATTATATATTTTTATATTTGTTATAATATTCATCTTGGTCATGTGTATTTATTATGATGTTCATTATATGATATTTAAATGTCCATGTTCTTTGAATGTAATTTTAATGTATCTTTATTGTCACACAATGTTCATTACTTAATATGAAATGTTCTCTGAATTTTGTTTTAAAATGTTGGGTAAATATAAATAATGTTCTTTAAATAATATTATCATGTTCTTAATTAATATAACGAATCTATCTCTTTACTTTGTTTCAAATCTCTTACCTACCATAATACGGGATAGATTAATCCCTAAAAAATTCTCTGTTCTCTCTCTTCAAACCTAGACACCATATTAAAACATAGGGGCTGCCATCGATTTTATTGATGGTAAGCCCCAAAATCTTCTTTAATTTTATGTTTTTAGTCAATAGAAATCACCAACAGTATGATGATTGTAGTCAGTCCCTTCATATAGGGTTTAGTTGGTTCCCTGATGGTGGGATTTGTAGTATGGGTTGTTTGTTTGTTTTTCGTGTGTGCAGGGATACAATTTGGAAGATTCGTCTTGCGAATTTGTAGATTTGCGAGTCTGTTGGTGTAGGGGGTGCAGATTTAAAAGATCAGTCTTGCAAATTTGCCGATCTTGAGGACCAATCAAGTTTTATCACTTTCGCGACTATATATTAATGGAGCTCCGTCAAAAACGATGCAAAGACATCTACAATTATTCAGGAGCAGTTTAGAAGCGATGCCGTTAGTTTAGGGGTGTTTAATACTACTTGTATTGAGAATTTAGATCTCTTATGGAATGATTGTAAGTGTCGAATGGCTATTATTATTATTTAATGAAATCACCCCTCCCTATTCCATTCCGGAAAAAAAATAAATAAATAATATAACGAATGTTCTTTAGATCTATTGGAAAATCAATCATCAATAGAAGAGGTCCCAAAAGTATATCGTTTTCATCAACCTTTATGATCCTGGTTTTATATATACACAATTAGATGATTTTTTTTTGAAAAAAATACGCAATTAGATTAACAAAGTTTGTAACGAAAGAACATATTAGTTCAAATTCAAAGAACATAGTTTGTGACCATAAAGAACATATAGTTTAGACCTAAAGAACATATTAATTAAACTCATTGAATGTATTCAAATCAATTAAAAAAATGAATATGGATAAAAAAAACTGAAAAAAGAACATTCATGCCAATCCAAAAGAACTTCATCTTCAACCTCTGAAAATAACACAAATTAAAAAAATAAAAAAAAAAATAAAAAAAAAAACACTATGATCCATGAACAAATATAATAATCTAAAAACATCATCATCAACAACAAAATTATGAAATATAAATTGAAAAAAATAACTAAAAACTTCCTTCTTATTTGGTGACAAAATCTAACATTAAATATCATTTGTCAAAAACATCAATCTGGTGATCATCAAGTGCAAATTGACAATCATAGATCAACACGAAATTCACCATGAGCCATCATTTTCTCTCTAAAAAAATTATTTATTTCTCTTGAAATTTTATTCTCTCTAAAAATTCTCTATTTTTTCAAAAACTGATTATTGACAACTACGGATATGAGAAGTTAAAATTATGGAAAGGAAATAACAAAAATCCTTCAATAAAGAAGCATAAATTTAGGAAGCCGACTTTTTCTTTTTCTTTTTTTTGAATGACAATTTTAATCCAGGTGGTGTACAATGTAAATTTCAGTGTTAATCAGTTAATGTAATAAGGGAGTTTATGAAATATGATGATAGTCATCGTTTGTGCGTGTGGTGTGGGCTTCTAACTCCATTATTGCCTTCAGATTTTTTTTTTGAAACCAAAAAAAAAATTAAAATAATAAAAATAATAATAATAATAATAATAATAATAATAATAATAATAATAATAATAATAATAATAATAATAATAAATGAAACTTATATCGTGGTCATTTGAAAAATGACTACCAAAATTTTTAAAATTGATTTTTGAATTATTTAAATGCTAAAATTTTTTTTTTTTTTTAGGAATTCATTTTAAAATTTTCAAGTTAATTATTCTAATTTTTGAATTTTATTCAAATTAATTTATGAAATTCAATTTTAATAATTAATAAATATTTAAAATTAGAAAATTTAATTAAATTTTTTTCACAAATAATTAAATTGATTTTTAACTATATTAACATTTAAAAATAAATCAAAAATCTTTAAATATGAACCGTTCATTTTTTAAAATTGTGGTTGTCATTTTAAATAATTCAGATGACAACCATAGAATGGATTAGAATCATCTTTTAAAAAAAAAAGAAAAGAAAAAAAAAACTATCCAAATTGAAGAGCGCACAAAGCAATGATTTCTTGGAGATAAGGTAGGGAAAAATGAAATTCCATCTGTCCTAAATGATGTTGTTGTTTTAATTTGACTAATCTTTATGCTCAAATTTTAAATTTTTTACAGAAATTTTTCATTAAGAACGAATATATGTACAAAATATAGTTGTAGTGGGCAAAATTGTTAGATTTATATTAAAGCTTAGTTTTATAATAATAACATATTTTATAATCTTATCTATTAACTATTAATAAAATAAAACATGTTTTATCATCTAATCTATTAACTATTACTAAAACAAATTATGCTGACATCATTAAGAGACACATGTCAACTTCTCATGAAATTTTTTCCCGCCAAAACTATTTTTGACATCATCCTTTTTTTCCTTGATTTTTTTTTTCTTCCTAAGTCTAACACTAAATAAATACAAGTACAATATTTCTATCAAAATTAATTATTGAGATTATGATTACGAGTACACATTTTTCGAATAATAAATATTGACAACTATTTTTTACATTTAATGGCTATTTAATTCGTGCAACGCAAGGGACTAAACTAGTTATTACATAATTCAAATGACTACCACTATCCTCTATTTTGATTGACTAATTATTAATTTATTTTTTGCTAGTCAAACTTAATTAAAATTGATTTTTATTATTTAAAAACTCATAATTAATTATGAAAAAAAATTTATTGAAAAGTATAATAATTAATATTCGAAATTAAAACTAACTGTTAAATTGTGACTCGAAATCTAGTAGGGATGATTTTGAATACATATATCTTTCAAGATATAAGTGATTTTGAGGTGATTCAAGTTGAAGATGATAACTTGTTTCAAGATCTTTCCAGTGATAGGTCATATGCCCAATTCCGATGAGAAACGATAAAGTTATGACCGTTTTACGAAGACCTGACGAAGCTAAAAAGTTGCGACGAGGAAGCGAGCTATAGCTCTTGGCGAGTGAGCTATAGCTCGGCCCTATGAAGACTTGTAGTGGGCTTGAGCTAGCTGCCGAGCCAGTTCGGTCTTGTGCTACAACTTATTGAATTATTAGGGCTCCGTTTGGTAGGACGTAATACATTTTCACTGAAAGTGTTTTCCCATTTTACATTGTTTGGTTTGGTGTAAGACATTAAAATGTAAAACTTGGGGTGGAAAATCATTTTCCACCTTATTGAAAACATTTTCCCCCAATTTAAAAGGAAAACATTTTCCATCACAAATTGCGGGAAAATATTTTCCATCACAAGTAAAGGGAAAACATTTTCCCTCACAATTGAATTTTCAGTTCAACCAAACAATGGAAAATGCTTAAAATGGAAAATCATTTTCCATTCAACCAAACAACGAAAACTTTTTTGAAAATGAGTTTTCCATTGTAAAATGATTTTCATGGAAAACCATTTTTCAATGAATATGTTTTACACCCTACCAAACAGACCCTTAGTGGTACTATTTGATTACCTAATGATACTAATCTAAATTGATGAGGTAAATAACGATTTTACCCTTGTATGTTTTTTATTTTTTTGCGGCTCACCATTAGTCGTTTGGAATGCCTCAAGCTACTACGGAATACACCAAAGATTGGAGACTATTCCGTATTCATTACTGAACCCGGTTACCCGCTGAAGTTTCCCGCCATTTGCAAAATCTCTCTCCTCTATTTGTCACTCATTCATTCAACTCCAAAACCCTCAATTTCGCAAACCCTAAGTTCCGAAGAAATCCAGCAATGGAGGCTGAAATTAAAGCAGAATTCAATAAAAGTGGTTTCAATATCGCCGATGAAGATGCCGTCCTCAACAAATGTAATCAATTTCTCTCCATTTCCCCCAATTTTTCTGGGTTTGTTTTTCCATAAATTATGCAGATTTTAAAGTTATTTTTCTTAATTTCTACTATTTGGTTTGCAGGTCTTACTTTTTGTACAGAGTACAAGCTTACGCCTTCAGATCTAGTGTTAAGTTGGGAACTTTACTATCTCCACAGGTCACCCCAGTTTAATCTTTTAGTGTTTTACATTTTAATTTATACTTCGTATTGTTTTTTTTTGTGGGGGGGGGGGGGGGGGATTTTATGGATTCAGTCAAATTAATTCTATTGCTGGTTGAGTTCCAAGTTAATGGTTTTGCATTCGGAATGCTTAAGCCACATTGTATACTATACAACCGTTGTATGCAAGATTTATAAAATGGCTCAATATTTTATATTAGGGGGTTGACCTGAATTTTCTGAAATTTTCATATTATAGCTTGATGATAATATTAGGTAGTTATGATTTCAGCTGATTTGATTAATGATAGGCTGATACCTAATAAATTCTTTGGAATAGCCATCATTCTTTGAAGTCGTCTACGTCGACCGTATATTTTTTCGAAAATTGGGCGTGGTCATAAAGAGTGTGGAGTTAATAGGTCAACTGATAAGGAAATAAAAACATAAGTAGAAATTGAGATAGCAATCAAGTTAAGATGAGTATTCCTGTAATTTCCAAGGGAAGAGCACAGGAGGAAGGAGAGTAGGAGGAGCTACTGCCTTTTACACTAATTGAACTAGCATAGTATTAGTGTTGTGGACTTATGGTAGTATTAATCAATTACACGACCTTGAGATCAGTGGAAAGGGAGCAGTGACAACTTGAGCTCGGATTGATATGTTTGTTCTTTTGATGGATTGAATTTTGGACTGCTTCATTAGATTAGGAAATTAAAGTGAACATGGTGGCTATTTGTACTTTATGCCAAATTTTTTGAGCTTGTATGTCATGTAGCCACATCTAACTAAAATGATGTGTCACAGGCAATTGAATGAGTCTACTGTACAAAATGCTGAAATGGATGGATTTTTGTTGCACCTACAAAACGAGCAGAAAGAAGCATTTATAAAAGAGGAGCCTGGTTGGCATGCATACTCCTTTCGTGATGTAGATATGTGAGTATCCGGACTATAATGATCTATTTATACTTTGAACCTCCTTTTGTAAAGTTTATTTTGCTATGCCTTTCCTTGCACAAGCTATATAGGTATCCCTAGGTTTCTGGTGTGGTCCATTTGTACATATGAATCAGTTCATGTATCATCTATGTGCCTATTATTGAACAAACCGATGCCTTTTTTAATCTGTATGACTTATTTACAGCCATCAATGGTCACATGAACATATCTTCCATTCACATTAATTGTTTGAAATGGGATAGTACATATTTTAAATAACAGAAATTTTGATGATATGAATCAGATCATGGATCACATAATTTGTTGAACAGATCAATGCCTTTTCTACTCCTTATGACAGTTTACACTTTACAGCCATCAATGGTCACTTGAATATTTCCTCCAAATTCATATTATTGTTTGAAAGATTGCCTAGCTCAAGTGAATTTCTTTGTATGTAAAAGTAAAGTCTCCAGGATTATTTTTTGTCTTTCAACCTTTGAAAAATCTTGTTTCACAGGCATAATATTTCTGTTTACGCATGTGATATTGAAGTCAAGTCTTTTGTACAGGATCTTGAACGATGAACCAGAAGATACGAAAGAAGGTATTTTAGACACTCCAACTGACAAACCCTTGGCTCGATATGAAGAATTAGGCGATTTAGGGCATGGAACAAATGGAAGCCCTGTTTCATCCAGTAAGCAGTCAAGCATTCTGACGCCCTTTGGACAGAGAACCAACAAATTTGTGGTTCAGTACCATACCAAGACTGAGCCTATTGCAGAAAAGGGAAACATAGAAACTGAAGATGAAGATATGGGAGATGAATTTATTCGAAAGGCTCAACCGAAGAATAGATGCTCTTTAGTGATTCATGGATCGAAGCCAGAACCTGGTTGCAGATTTATGTATGATAAAATTGAAGACAGGGTACTTAATGCTTCTTGTAGTGAAACGTAACATTATAAAACCTAAATACTTTATGAAGCTGAATTCATGTTTATTTGATGATGCAGTTTATGTATCTTGTGAACCGCATCAAAAAGCATACATCATCATTTCTTTCTTATGGACAATATGAAGAACCTACGGATCCTACAGTAGCCTCTCAGGTATTGTAGATTTTTAAGATAGCCACGTATATTACGGTGGCTCCTCTACTTCTTTATCACACAGTCTTCTGAACACCTACTCATCTTATTGGATCATCTATCAGAAAAGCATGTTTGCTGTTGGAATGATCTGTTGTGACGGAGAAGGCCGTCTGAATGAAAAATCAGTCTTATTACAAAGCAGGTACTTTCATATTCTCTTTATTGTCATACTAGTGCTCAAAAGTTTTAATGAAATGGTAAAGAGAATTTTGATATGCGACAATTCAAGCATTCAATTTTCTGTGAGTTCATGTAAGATTTTGCAGCCTTGAGTACAATTTTGAATTCTAACTTTGATTCACCTTATACTTTGGTTGTTTTACCTATCTGACAGCATAGAGCATTCAGGAGGAGAACATGTACGCCTTGAATTAGAAAAAGTGAACCAATATTCCATTTTTCCAGGGCAGGTATTGATGGAATATGTTATGATGTGTATTCTTAACATGTATTTTTGGATGTTCTGAAGTAATGAAAATGTTTTTCAGGTGGTGGGCGTTGTTGGAACCAACCCCAGTGGCCACTGCTTAGTTGCTTCGAAATTAGTGGATGCTATTCCTCTGTTACCCTCCTCTGATATTAATCTTCATCCTGCAAAGAAATTAGCTCTGAATGAAGAGGGTCTCTCCAACTTTCAATCACCTGCACTGGCTGAACTATCAATGGTAAGAAAATGTTGATTGAATAGTTGCAAGCTTGCAACAGAATATTATTGCTATCATTAAAATATCAGACATTACATATCAAAAATGTGTGCTGCAATTTGTATTGGTTTTATTTGTTTCTAACATCTTGCTTAGTGTAAAAAAAGAGCATGGAATACCTTAATGATTATAACACTTCATAATAAATAGAAATTGTATTATGCCTCAGCTGTGAAGTTCATGAGAAACTGAAGTTATTAACTTATAAGTAATAGTTTACAAGGATAATTAGCCATCATCCCAAGGTGTCATAAAATCCACATTATATAATTTTTAACCGAGTTAAAACAAGGACTGAGATCATAGTTGATATGAACTCAAAGCAATGCCTGATATCCCAACTTCATTACAGTAATTTATATGGGTTTGCTACAACCAACCAAATCAAATCACTCTGTTGTGCTGCAAGCACCTCCATAGACCTTTGATAGTTGTTGTCCTTAATACCAAATTCTGTGAATTGTTCTGTGAGCATGATCCTTAACAAGGCTGGCTGAAAATTCACACATCCCTCAATTGAGTAAATTTCAAATGTTGCTAAAGGAACAGTGAGGTAAAATGTGAACTATTGGCAGTATGTGGTCACCATTTTGTCAATTTGGACATAAGACGTTATTCCATCTGGTGTATCATGTTCAATTTTCAAGCAGTTGGACACTTATTCAGCCTTTTGCTTGCTGTATGGAATTTTATCAGATTGTGGCAGCAGGACCTTTCACCACGACAGACAACTTGTTATTCGAGCCTTTGAAAGAGCTGCTTGCATATGCAACTAGAAAGCAGCCACAGTTGCTTATATTGGTAAGAGCATTAGTTTCCATCAAAAAAATTTAAGAGCATTAGTACTTGTGTTCTGGTGGTTTCTTTAGAAGTTGAAAATTGTTTATATGACATTGTTTGGCCTATTTATCAGCTGGGACCTTTTGTTGATTCTGAACATCCTGAGATCCAGAAACCAACCTTTAACCGAAGCTTTGATGAAGTATTTCAACATGAAATCATCAGAAGGGTATTTTTCTCTGATGCCAGAATTTCTTGTTTCTGCAGCCAGAGGATTGAGCAATTTTTCATAAGTATTACTAATCACTACGAGATCATTTTTTTTCCAGTTGCGAGATCATGTTGAATACATGGGTTCTTCCACTCGTGTGCTTTTGGTGCCATCTATACGAGACGCTAACCATGATCATGTTTTCCCTCAGGTAAATTTTCTTTTGACTTTATCACTTCGTATATACATGATTAGGTGAGTATTAACATTAATTATTAATTCCTACATTGGCTTGCAGCCTCCTTTTGACTTGAACCCTGAGATGAAAGACCAGGTAAATAAAGATTCTCAGAACATGTGCCATGAACTTCCCTTTTAACTCTGACATTAAATAGATCCTGATTTCCTTTAAATCTATGCCAGATTACGTGTCTTGCCAATCCAGGAATATTTGATGCGAATGAGGTTAGTTTTTGTTGTCTGCTGTCTACTATTGCGCATCCATTAAGTTTATTGAAAAGAGTTCACACCTTTTGTCTTAAGCTTCATTGCAATGATGAGAAATGTCTTGTCTTGCATTAATACTTCTGGTTCTGTATCACTGACCAAACTGGAGCCATGAAGAGCAATGACACTGGCAGATTTTAAACCCAAGTTAAGATACACCCTCCAAATGCCTAACTAGCTGAGCTGACTGGCATCTACTGTACAGCATGCTTCACTCTGGATTTGAGTTTGTGCACAATCATCTCAAAAAAATATGCTTTGGATGTTTCTATTCTAATGGTCGATTAATTTTTATAATATTGAACTTGGGTCCAAGATTTGATACTAGTTTATATAATACACAATTCTGGATGATGGTGAACCAGTTAATGGTCTGATTTGCAGGTGAAGGTAGGATGCTGTTCTGTAGATGTCATAAAGCATCTGGGTGGAGAAGAGATATCCAAGAATCTGACATCAGGGGCCCGTTTGAGCAGATTGGCCACCCATATTATCAACCAACGCAGGCATGATATGGCCTCTCTTTGTTGGAAGAATTTTTACTTCATTTATTATGGGTTTCTTAAATAGTCGGAATGGATGTTTCATGCTGTTTCCTTATTCTAATTTTTTTTTTCCCCATGTATAACAGCTTCTACCCTTTATATCCCCCAGCTGAGAGTGTTCCATTGGACTTCTCTATTGCTCCTAAAGCTTTAGATATTTCTTCCATCCCACATATGCTCATTCTACCGTCTGATTTGGCTCCTTTTGTAAAGGTAATAATTAAAGAAACAGCTTTTTTCTTGCTTCCATGCCCAAGTTTCATGTGCAAAGTGCAGGTTTTTTCGTTTCTTGCTCATTTTTCAGTTCCTTTGTTACTTTTTTTTTTGAAACAAAGTTCCTTCATTACTTGACTGGCAGTAAGATTGGATTCTGGAAGGGTCTTTCAATAGGATATTCCAGGAGTATATCCTCAAATTTCTTGTTTGAGTTCAATGAGAATGTAATCAACTAAAAATCTTTTTTGGAAAAACACAGGTGCTTTCGATCAATGAAGAAGTTAAAGAACAGGAGCATGTTAAATGCCTATGTGTAAATCCTGGGAGACTGGCCAAGGGTATAGGAGGTGGTACATTTGTAGAAATTTACTACAATGGAAGTCCAGAGACAGCATACGGTTTAATCATCCGCATATAGATCTTCCAATGTAGAAGTTGAAAATAGAGGTATAACTCCAGTCGATTGTTCTGGACATGAAAAAAAATTGTACTGGATTTGGACTTGAAATTTGAGTCCAATTCCCAAATTTGAGTCTTATGTATATACTGCTCCATGTTTTTTTTTTTGGGGTTAGGAATGTTATTAGCTTATACATGTACTTTGTATGGTACTTATGTATTATGTACTATCATTTAGAAACAAGAACTTTAAATGGCATGTTTCAATCATATGCTTTTATAAATTATGAGATAAATACAGTTCCTTGGAAACTTCTGACTTCATTTTTGTTTTCCTATATTGTTGATGAATTCTTCGAACATCTAGGCTTCTTATTGCTTCTACTTATAATGTCTAAAACAATAACCAAATGTATGTACGAAGTATAAGTTACAAGAGGTGGTTTTTTTTTTTTTTTTTTTTCTTGGTTGAAAAGGAAAACTGTACGTAAAGGTTAGGGCAGTCTTCTCTTAATAATGTATACAATGAAAATATATTGGGTTATGACATGAGTTATTCATATTGTACATCCATAAACCAAAGAAAAATAATAGAACATATTTACAGATTCATTAATACAACCCAAAAACTACAATCACATTATCACACTAGTCAACACTAACCAAATATTGGTAAAGTATACACTTGCTAATAAACTAGAATACATCTAAATAATATGTCCAAAAAAAAAATACACCATAAATGATACAAGTAGATAATACCATTTATCATTTCAACTTCTCTTTCTTGCTCAAATTTTCTTTGTAAAATTCAATCCAATGATTCAAAATCCACAACAAGCTACCCATGATACCAGACACAGTCAACAACATCCAAGAACACCAAACCCATCTTGGAATCACGCTATTCGTCGCGCCACTAGCATACACAAACCCCATCTTGATCACAAACAGAGGTGCAAACACACCTCTAACAGCAGTATAGAATGTGTAAAATCTTGGTGACAAGTAATCATACACTTGTTGCGCTACATGAAAATCGGCCTTTCGTAACCTTGCCCAAAGACCATACATTCTGCACTGGACTAGTTACCTCAGCAAGAACCAGGATTACCAATATAGTAAAAGCCCCATGATTAGCCACAAACCTGCAAGTAAGAAGACAAAATAGACTAGCCAAATGATGAGCAATAAAAAGCACATTTTTTGGGTTATAAACAAAGTAATGAATAAGATCCATTATAAAGTAACTTGTGCTAAATTCAAGCACCAAATTTTGCAAAGGGGTGTTTTTTTATGCAAACATTGTTGATGGAATTTCTTGGTTTCTTGTGTTTTTTACCAAACACAATGCAAAAACTGCTAAAATAACTGATGGGGTTCCATGAGATAATGATAACAAGCAACTACATGCATCATAGCGATGCTTTGGACCCCAATTTTGAAAGATTTTGTGTGCAAAAACATAGATTGATGTATAAAAAAGCAAGAATTGAGGAAGTTTAAGGTCATAACAAGAGGATAATTGAGCTGTAATATCCATGATAATAATACAAACTAATTAAAGATTTAATAATTTAGAAAGAGAACTATAAAAGATTGAAATTTTGTAGGTGATAAAGATTGATAAAAATATAATGATTAGATTATATATTTTTTACTTTTGGGGGTTTAAGTTAGCTTATTATAATTGGTAAAGGTCGAATTAATAAGAAATTAGATGTGACAATGAATTGTAAAATTGTATAAGAGTGCGCATAAAAAGTCAGATTCCTGAGAATCATTTTTAGGAAAATATCAAAGAGTCCCTGATTATCTTCATACTGTGATTGCGTCAAGTAAACACCTTTAGATTTGCAATCATTTTCATTTTGTATTTTTATTATTTTTGTGATGGTGTTTTTTATTAAGGGGATATTCCTTCCTTGTTTGTCTAAATCCACATAATTAATTAAGAAAAATATTATCCGAGTCGGAGATTTTCGATTATTGAATGAGATGTTTTACATAGCACCAAAGTACAGAGATAGCTACATTTACCTATCAGGCTAATCAAGGTGGATTATCTATCAGGTACCAGCGGAAGCCTAACAGACCGTTACAAAAATAATTTAGTGGTGTTGAGTTGAATTTCGCTATCTATCAAATTCTATTACAGATGGATAATAATATACCCGGCGGCCATTGGGTAGACCAACAGTCTTCAACTTGTGGATTGGGATGCCCTATTTCCATTAGTTACAAAAATACATACAGAAATATGGCAAATTTTTTTTGTACATCAACTCCTAATTATTCACCAATATCATTCATCATATCCAAACAATACAGTTCCTTAGTACTTAGTACTCGTTGACGTTGAACTAACTTGTTAAGACTTTATTATACTTGTCTAAAAGCTTAATCACTCATCATCATCAAACAATACAGTGAAAAGCTGTCAATTAGCTCTTCAACACCAATATCAAATACATGTATACTATTACTAGCTGGTAAGTGATAACAACTGCAGCCAAAAAAAAAATTAAAAAAAATCACTGTTTTTGCCTTATTACTAGCCTTGTTCACCTACCCACTGAACTTCAATTATGGCCCGTAGCACCTGGATCCATTTATTCATCTGATCATCAGGACGAATATGGTCCTGATAACATCGCAGATTGCAACGGACGAAGTTAATTCAATTCAGGCTAGAGCATTATAAAGTATATGAGTAATTAACGAGAGTTCTGATAAGCCTTCTGCCTCAATGCTGGGATCATTAAGCAATTTACATAACCATTCCTCCATCTATTGTTACCACCTGTATGACAGAGACAAACCCCAAAAATATAAGAGCAAACTTGGAATTTTAGTCAAAGGCTAAAGGCAAGGCGCAAATAAAATGCAATTGATATAAAGAAATGTACATATTATAGAGCAGGAAATTATTAGGGGGAACTAGTTAGAAACAAACAGGGAAACAGAAGATCCACAAACCTGTCCAGTTATATAACTGGCAGCCGGATCAAGGGCTAAAAACTCCACTAATCCAGCAACTTCTTCTGGTTGACCATACCTCCCTGAACCCAAAAACAAGATGTATAAAAATCATACAGGCTTCTTCACAATACTAAATTTAATTTCAATTGTGAATTAGGATAATAATTTGACAGGAATTTTGCAATTTCATAACAGCTTTGAACGTCAACATTATATACTGCAAGCCACCAGAGATGACGAGAAGGGGACATGCCAGGGCAGAATTTTAATGCAATTTCACAACCAAATACATGGATCAGCTATTCAGCTTTGGAGGTACTTATACAGATCAAGAAATTTTGAAAAATGGTTATTGGCACATTAATAAGAAAAGTAAACTCATGTTCTTTGAACAAAGACACAGGACTTTCAAAAGAAACTTAGAAAAAGAATATCTAGTGTTGAGAAACTTTGAAAGAAAAAGCAATCCTAACCTAATACTTTGTATGAACTAAAGAATTTGACAAAGTGTTTCCCAATACATGGAAAGCCAAAATCTATTTTTCCTTTTTTCTATAAAGAAATTCAAATTCTTATAAAACAGAATTATAGTAGGTTGGTTGTTTCTCTTTTTCAGATCAAGGAAATAATAAACAGTAACCCTCCAGAATACAGGAAAACACAATAAGAGCACCCATTCCTTGTTGTACATCTAAAGAAGAAACTTTGGGAAAGCCAATAGTCTAGAGAGCAAGTCCCCATAGAGATGCTATATAAATTTTCCCGTAAAGTTTAAAACTCATTTATCAACCCTTTCCAAACCCTTATAGGTTATCCGAAGCAGAGGTTTATTGGCATTAAGTTTCCCTACCACAGCTATTCACAAAATCTTTGATTAACATTGGAACCCTATATTTCCAGACAAGGATGTGAACTTGGAGTTCCTTGTAGAAATGTTTATAAAAAGAGCTAGAAAAGTAAAAACCACACTGCTAAAATTGATGAATAATCTTGCTTCAAAATTGAATGAAGAACACACTACTAGGTTAGCAAGCTCTGCCAACTCCCACCCTTAAAGATGCCTTCTGATGGAACTATGAGAGTTCCAATTTACAATTTTACCAGTTAACCGCAAATGTTTGACGTTGTCCCACTGAGTACTGAAGAAAGGCAATACATGGAAGAAATACGATGGATAATTTAATGGGCCCCTTGTCGAAGATCTTTCCTAAAAGTCAATAAGATCATCAATGATCCAATATATCCATATAGCTTACCAGAGTAAAGAATATATATCTCTCTAACCTAAAGTATTTTAAGCTAATTGCAAGTTCTCTCCATAGCCAAAGCAGGGGTGTTATGCTTGCGGCTGAACTTGTTGAAGAAAGTGATGAAGGTATATATTTATGATCAGAAATCGAATCGATCATTTCATAAAAAATATTAGACCAAAATGTAGGATACTTTTCAGGGAATAAAGATCTCAACTTCCAACAAAAAGAAGCAAAGAATAAAGTTTTCATTTTGTACATGCTTCTTAGAATTTTATATTACTCTCTGTTACCTATTTTGAGATAATATCATATCAAAGAATAACATAAAGATGAGACCGGAGATATAAACATTCAAAGACTCGTGCAAAAAGTATGGATCCTAGATTGGTCTCTTCGAATCTCTTGGAGGCAAGGTCTTTGCCTTGTTTAATGAAATTTTAATCAAGTAATAACTGAAAAAAGTATCATCCAACATGGTCGGCAAGAAAAATCTAAAACAGCAGATACCCAAGTTAACAACAGCTTTCTACATAATCATCAGGCAAAGATTAGAGAATCTTTCTTGGAAAGTCAAAACTAGAAACATAACTTGTTACGATGTCAGGCAACATGAGGGAAAATATGGAAAAAAAAAAAAATCACGCAACATATCGACATCAAAGTCGAACCAAGTGCACATCTGATAAGAAATAATAAATACCTAAGGGGATGGCAGCCATGAGTTTTTTCTCAATGTCTTCCCCAAGATTTGAAGTCATGTCTGATGCAATGAACCCTGGTGCTATAGCATTAACCTACAATGACAGAAGTACAACAAAAACTTGAGATTCCACTAAACCACTAACTGCCAAAGAAAGTATCAACTAACAGTTTCAGAAACTACTACTCGTATGAAAAATATACATTGATTCCCCTGCTTGCATATTCCTTTGCGACTGACTTAGTGAGGCCAATTACCCCGGCTTTCGCAGCACTGTAATTGGCCTGTCCTGCATTTCCAATCAGGCCAACGACAGAGGTTATATTGATTATCCTTCCCTGTGAAACAGGCAATAAACTTTAGTCAGGAAACACACAGAATCCTGATCAGGAAAAGAGGTGAAAGAAGTCAGGTACATTATGATACCTTCTTCTTTTTCATCATAATTTTTGCTGCAGCCTGCAAAGACACCACACATAGATAAAGATTGAAAGTTTTCCAGCATAGAC